AGAATATAAATTACACATACAGTTTAAAAATTACAATAAATAATATAAAGAGCACTAAAGGCCACTTGTATAAAAGTTGTGTTCCCTTGTCAGCCAGAATCTGAAAAGCATCTTTGTAGCATGGGGAAAATTTCAGTGAGCAAGGCACAAATACTAGTAATAATAAGATGCCATAACTAGAAAACAAAATGCTGTTGGCCATGTAACCTTCAGTCTCAGCGTATATTTGAGGATGGAAATAGGATCCCACTTCCAGTATTTTGCTTCACTTAACTTCAGAGGGAAGCTACTAAAAGCTGAACTGGGAAGGATCAAATCTTACAGCCTAAATAATCAGAAGCAATAGTGATACCCAGGATCTCCATTCCCACAGTGCCCAGCTAAAACCATTTGAAAATGGCCCCTTTTTCCACCTCACCTCTGAAAAGGCTTTTCAAAAGTGAACACCTACATTCAGCTGAGCTCCTGAAAAAGCAACTTTACATCAGATTCATGAGGTGCTGCAGAAAATTTAGGTTTGCAGCTTTTTGGCACCTAAAGCTTAGTGGAAGGGGCTGTGGGGTGCAAGGAATCAAGATCCAACTCTTTCTCACATGCTCTGTACTAAGCGGGATAAATTCAGTTCTCACATAGGCAGATGTGACACCACTGCAACACCTGGGTTCCCATCAGGGCAGAAATTCCTCCTTCATCTGCATTTTCTGATTCTTTTAGGCTGCAATCTTGCAAACTAATGGGACCACGAAGCTTGCCTAAAGGCCACCAGTCAGCAGCCCCGCTACGCCCTGGTTCAGGTGGGAATTAATTTGTGGCATTACTGGGCCACAATTTAAAGCAGGAAAAATGTAAAACTATTTCCACTCTGAACTGTAACAATGCAGCAAAGTTACAGATAAAAACAGAGCAAATATAGTCAAAGTCAGTTTAGGGACTTTTCAATCAATCTCTCCACATGCTGAATTCTCTTTTATTATGATAGGAGCCAGACTAATTAATTTAGTGCAGGGAAAAGCCAAGGCAAGAACAGTGGCCATTACCTGACTAGATTTTTTTTAATGGACCAACTCCTTAAATGGAGCATTAACCACATTTTTTATACCTGCACACTTTAGCTAAATATTTACTTTTGCATTGATGAAGTATTCTCAGTTTGAATCTAAAGTGAGGAAGCTTGATTGATAATAAAGCTGCAAAAAGATGTACACAATGTAAACTCAGATTCATGTTTTCAATAACTTCCAGATGTGTGTCATTTGTTAGTGACTGAAAAATTAGTGTAAAAATGAAGCTAAGAAAAATGTCTTCAGATTGGTGTTGTCTTTCACAAGGAAATTCATAAATAAAGGCAGATTAGGACCCAATCCTGCTCCCAGTGCATCAGTTGGAGAAGGTTTCTTACTGATTTCAAGGACAGCAGAAAAAAGTCCCACATTTTATTATTATGGAAAACATCTCAAGGCCTGAAATGAATCCTTGGTCACCTCGTAGCAGTTAAGAGTCAGCAAAGAGTGGATTCCAATGATAAATCCTTTTTAATGTTGACTGTACATAAATGAAGTGTCAGTCTAGGCGCTAGGAAGATCTGACTCAAACAAAATTGATAGCTGTTAAACTGAAATGTTGGACACAAATGGAAGAAGGGATAAATTTAATCCATCCCTTGTACGAAGAGTACTACTGATCCAGATGCCTCTCTCAAATGGAATAGAGAATAGTTGATTTCTTGTATGTGGTGAACCTACTCTGCAAAACAGGTCCTGACCTTTTAAATGTTGCCAGGGACAACAATCACAGACAGTTTATTTTGTTTTGTCCAGTACCTAAGGTAGGCACATAAACTGCAGTTCCAAGGATGATGCACTCCCTGGATTCAATCTGAACTGGATTCTGATGATGTTTGTGTGCACATCCCACATCAAGGGTGGTCCCCAGATCTCACCTTGCTGACATCTTGATACGTATCTATTGTCAGCGCAGACAGTGGAACTGATGCACACCCTGTTTTTAATACAGATGATGGAGGAGGCAGAGAGCTGCTAAGCACGTCACCTTTCTGAACAGAGCAGTGACTGGTTTCCATGAAAAGAAGTGTGTTAGAAAAAAAAAAAAAAAAAAAAAAAGGTAATTAGACCTTCTTTGACCCTCTTCCTGGGTGTCTTCCAGAAGATCCAGAAATGTCCACTGGGAGAGTCTTGCTGACCTTACCACAGATGTCCTTTAAGAAGCATCAGACTTCATCTGACCAATTAGCTCATTATTAAATATTTCATGATGAGGCTACAAAGAACCTGACCTGGTGTTTTTAAGCTGCATATAGTAAATTGGAGCTTACAGCCACAGAAAATGGTAACTTGAAGGCAGTTCGGCTGCTAAGTGCCCACAGTACAGGGCAGCTCAAATCCCACTTTCTCTGGGGTTGTGCTCTGTGTGCAGGTGAAAACTCATCTAAGTCTCTGCCTTTGCTTGGATTTTCTCTTGGAATTAACATACCTTTATAATGAGGTGATTTATGGATTTACAGCCAGCTTTAATACTGAGAAAATATTCCCTTTATATGACTTGGCACAGGAAAGATTAGAAACCTGAACTGAAGAATTTGAGGGGGAACTGGGCAGGGGACTGCAGGACATAGACACTGCCAAAGACGTTCAAAAACAAATTTCTCAGATTGCACTTGGATTTTGATTGCTCAGATCTAGAAAGCATTTTAAGAAGGACCAAACTCAAATTAAATCAGTAGGAATGCCAGCAACTTGAGATATAAGGAAAGTGAATCATGCTTGTGTAGCATATACTTACACCGATTTCAGAAGTTGTCTAGCAATGTTACAATCAGTTTTAATACTTTTTCATTCATTTGTCATGTAAGAGTTAAATCTTACGAGTTGCCACAGACATGTATTATTGTATCAGAAAGCCTGCAGCAGGTGCAATACAGGTATTTCCAAGAATCACTGATGGTCAAAGAATTCTTCTCAATATGTCCAATTATAACTAATTACACTTTTGTCAGCTAGTTTTATCCTCTTCAAGTTTATCCATAAAACTGAACTGAATACAGCCATTTCATGTCAATAGCTATTTTGTCAATTAAGTAATTACCAAAATTGTGCCTCACGTCATCATAGTCACTCGCCTCAGAACAGCTCCATAGACTCAGCCCAGCCTTCAAAAGTCGTAACTGGTCTGCATTATTTACTCAAGTAACTACAGCAATTTGTTCTCCCTGCAGATCTGTCCCAGTATCATGATTCAGCTGAAGAAGCAGATGAAGTAAGAAGATCCTAATCCTTTAGATGTATTTTTAGATAGAGAATAAATAATGAAGATGAAGGCAATGCCTACATCTGGAAGATAGCAGAAGCTCCCTGGATGGAATGACTGAGATGTCAATGATACTGAGGAATCAAACATGAAGTTTATTACAGTGGGCAAAACCCAACAAGTTATCTTCCTCTATCCAGGCCTGTGCAATACCCAGTTACACATGGGAAACCCAGTAAAGTGCATCTCTTTCTTGTGCTCTGATTGGATGTGCCAACAATGCTCAGTTGTGCAGCTGCAGTGTAATACAAGCAGTCACTACAGAAAGTCCACTTCCTAACATCTTATACGGGTCAAATCCTTGTGTCTTTGTTAGTCAGTGCTCCAACCATGGTGGTGAAGTCATTGTGTGGAGTGACAGGAGGCAGGCATGTGCCAGTGTAGGGAGGCTGCATCTTGAATCAGTGGGGTAGGGGTGAGAACCTTCCCACTGAGTGTGGGTGTCTCTGTTCATATGGCAACTAAGCAAGACACTCTCTGGTCCCTTTGAAGTCAGTAGAAATTGTATCATTGCAGATAAATGAGTTAAAGATGAGATTAATCTCATGCTAAAGCTGATGTGTGCCTTGGTTCTTGTACCCTGCGCTCACTGACTACTGATCAGTTTTCCACCAGCTGTAAAGAGTGCATAGCCATCAAACTTGATGTCAAATGGATGCTATTTCATGGACACCTGGATTGACATCAGATGAATCCTGCATAGGATATTTGGACAGGTTAGTTTCACTAGCTGTGTAGATACTATGTTCCCACTGAAGTGGTGTGATCTTTGATTAATTTCTCCCCTGGTCCCAGTAGACTGTACTGTTTTCCTGCTGTCCCTCAACATAATTTCCAATTCCCATGGAAAAATATTTGACTGAGGCCTAGGGAGCATACTTTTTCCTCTATTGCTCAGGGACAGGTGACAAGAATGGTATTTATTTATTTGTACATTGATCTTAAATATGGCACACATTCATGGAGAAAGAGCAGAGAGAGAAACAGATCCTGGCAGCATCCCACATTGTAGAACTCTCAGGGAACAGAATAGCAATACTCTGCATATCTCCAGAGGAGCTCAAAGCACTTGGCAAATATTAGTTAATTGAGCCTTATAACATGTATATTTGTATGGAATTATAACCCCCAATTAACCAATTGGGAAACTGAGGCACAGTTACATTATGCAGCCTACTTAGCAGCACATAAGTCAATAAAAGAGTGGAGTGTATAAACCTGGAGCTTCCTACACTGAACAACCTTATTTTTGGAACAGAAAGAAAATCTGTCCCTCTAAGTAACAAATGGACCGAGCAAAAGATTTTTTACAAAATACCGTTGTAGTCAGGCTCTGAGCAATTTTACAAACACTAGTGGAGATTTTCAAAGTAGTTTGAGGGATTTATATTTACATTTTACAATAAATAAATAAATATCCATGACTATTCCCAGGAGGTGGCTTTGAAAATTTTAAAGTGTATCCCTAATTTAATTTTAACATTGTATTTCATGGGTAGATGTATAATAGATAACATGAAAAACATTCAGTTCACAAAACTGTCTCGGTAAGGTCATTTACTTTGTCTCAGCTTTTTCCCTGCTTTGAATATTAGACATTCTTGGTTAGGTTGGAGATTGATTTACTTATACTGGAAAATGGATTCAAATGTTATGTTTACACAAAGGGATATTGCTCCTGAAAATATTTTTACTTTGCTGCTCTGTTTACAAAACATAGCAAGGACCATCATATCTCGCTTGTTATCAATTCACCATTGTTGTATTGAAGAGTATCAGATAGATATGTATCATAGAAGAAATCAGCTGTACCATTTATATAGGGTAAAGTCATGCAAACCATGCTCAAAACTAAGCTCCTTAGTTTTGGTAGCATGAAAAAAACTGCATTAGTAAATTGTATGAAATGGTGCAGAATGACTACCACTAATATCACATGCATCTTATGCAGCCATTGGTGTTTTGAACTAGTAAGCTTTGGGTGTAGAGTAAGTGAGATATACAAAGTATGCTTACATTACACGGAGAAGTCAACCAGTGACTGCCCCCAGACGCACTTTTAAACTGGCTTGTTTGAAGGGGTCCATACTGAATCTGAAATCCCATCTCCTGTAGAAGACAAAGGCATGGAGCCACTTGGTGTAAAAGGGTCGGTGTCTGTGTCCGTTTCCCCCTCTGCTAAGTAGCGTTTCTCTCTCATCCACGCTGATCCCCCATTGGGGCCAAACGGGAAGTCATCTCTTTCTTGGGAAATACTGAAGCCACTTGGGGAGCGTTCAAGTTCCTCATGGTTGACAGAGAGAAGGGATAATGGAGTATCGCTGTCTCTTGTTAAGCTCCTTCTCTGCCTTGGAGGCACCTTATCTGAGTAAGGGCTTTGTAGGTCTCCTTGAGAGTGGTAGGTAACCTGGGAGTCCACTAATGTAAATATAGGCAAAACTGTTGGCCTTTTTGCATATGAAGTTGAGGAAGGTGTGGCTTGCAGTTTGCCAGAGTTTTGCCCACCTGCTGATAAAGGTTGTGAATGAGTCATATGACCACGTGCTGAGAAACCAAAAGGACTGACTTTGTTAACTGGAACCTGATGGAAGTTATAAGGAGTTTCATGAGCACACTGCTCAGTGTATTTATATATTATTGTTTTTAATTCAGAATATTTGTTTTCTTCTCTCTTCTCCTTTCCAGGAGAAGCAGTTTCTTTTAATGGAGTTATCTCAGCAACTTGTATTTGAAGCTGTTCCATATGATGCATATGCATATCAACAAGAAAATCCAGTTTCTTCCCCATGTCATTAACCTGAAAAATAGCATTGTTATGATATTGTCTCAAGTCAGTTTTTCAATGAAAGAGTCAATGCTCCCATAGGTGCACTGCCCCCAGCAATGGTGTGCTGCCACCTTATTGGTCATAAAGGTAATTATAGAATAATCATGACTTTCCCCTGAAAGCTGGACTTCAGTGGATGCCAGCTTATCCTCTAACTGCCTCAGATTAAGAAGACCCGACCCTATGAACTGTGCCAAAAAAATTCTTAGCATCGCTGGATACTTGTCAGTCCAGCATCCAAGAGCAGACTACAATGTTATGACCAAAGTCTTGATACCATACGGTAAATAGCTATTACCAAAACACAACAGATGGAGTTACCTTTGCACACAGATCTGTTCTCTAACTCTTAACAGTCCCACAACATCAGGGTCAAATATTAGGGACTAATTTCCTTTCTTTTTTCATAGTACTTTGTGTCTGCACATTTACATTCAATTAAAGGAATTTATGTGAATCAATGCCACTTGCCTCCATGTTGGTTAGTTATGTATTTAAAAATGAGAATGTCTTGACTTGCTAAGAAATAAGTCAGGATGCACAGATACCTGTGGAGGCAGTCCTTTTGAGTGCCAGACCCTGCAGAAGGTGGCTGGTCCTCACAGCAAAACACCAGACATGATGAATATGGAATTTAAGGGAGTCAAAAAGTCCCATCTAAACATTATGGTTAGGGTCTTGCTGCCATATATAACGATATTCATTCAACAGGTTTCAAAATACACATTTCCCAGTTAATTAAATTATTTCATTAAAAACTAACAAACAACATAGTTTTATGATCATTAGTATAAGATCTAGTATAAGATCTGTGTGAGTCGATCATCAACAGTACAAATCTGCCTGGGTCAGACAAAGACTCATGCAGAATTTATGTCAGCTTTGTCATTTCTGTACAAGCACCTCAACCTCCATCATTGTAATGAAATTACCTACCTGTCGTTCAACTTTAACAAATTTGCCCATCATACTTTGGTCTTCAGTATCTGCTGTAGATGCTTTGGCTACATATGGATCATTTCTATAAAGAATTAATACCTCTATTAGTGTTCAGTTTTCCTTTGCAGCATAGTAAGTAATTTATAGCAGAAAACAGAAGTACCGTCTTGGTGGTATATTCATATAGCTCCTTGGAGCTCCATTTAAGAAAAGACTGGATTTAATTATTTATCATACAAACAGAAACAAAAGTCTATTTTATGTGATTCCAATGCATTTCTAAAAAGCATATTCCTGATTTTTAATTTAAAATTATTTTGGTTCAAAATTAAAATAAAGATTAAGAAAAACAAAAGCAAAAAAAGGTTCAAAATGAAAGTGAAATTAATCTTAGACTTGCTGGAATAATTTCACATTTGGGAAAAATGTCAAGATTGTCTAGATAGTGGGTCTGCAGATGGCCATGTGTTTTAAAATCTAATTATTTGTAATTAGTGACTTTGAAGACTGAATCTGAATTTCAAGGCTGAGTGTTTTTTCATTCTCCATTTCATTAAAATAAATAGTAAGTGGCAGACACTGGAAATGCTGAAAAGAGACAGTCTGGCCTGGAGACTTAAAGTAGATTCTAGAATAAATTTTATTCTATGCAATTTCCTACTGCCTGTCCATCAGATGGACTAACCAAGAGGTAGGAAGATGATCTCTGCTTAACTACAGAACTTTGATTTATAACTTCATGGGATCTGGGATGGTCATTATCAAGTTCAATTTTTATTTAAAGGTTTTCAAACCAACCTCAAAGGAATCTATCTCTTTCCATAATCTATGTCAAAGTCTAGAAAAACAACTTCTATGCACTTGTTTTTTAACATGACTTACAACAAATATACCCTAAAAATTTCGGTTTAACAGGTCCAGTTCTTCTCTTTCTGACAAAATTGAAAATATACCTGTGAATATATCTTACTAAAGCAGAAACAATAACTAAAACATGTCAGATTTTGCACATTGGATAACTGATGATATGGGCTCATTCAAATTTTGCAATCTGCTTTGTTTTTCAAACAATCATTGCCTCTTCCATATACATACATACTTCTATATTTTTCACTGGGCAGGATAAAGCAGATAGATCCAAATTAATTTATTTTCTGTAAGATTACTTTTGTTCTGAGCAACGATAACAGCTTTGGTGACAGATTGTTGATAGTCTTGTGTGGTTCTTCATGGGTATTTATTGACAGATTGATAGTTGTAAATAACAGAAGAAATGTCATTTATTATTGAATTCTTGCTACTAGGAATGCAGCAGTACAACAACATGCTGTAACTTTCACACCCAGAAACCTGGTATTGCAATTTATTTTCAGTAATTCTCACTTTTTTCACTTCAAGAAGATAATGGGTTTGCCTTCAAATTATTGGTGATTTTTGTTGAGTTTTTAACTGGGTTTATTAGTTGAATGCTAGAAATTCACTATATTAGCAAACAAACGTATGTATTTCATATAAAATCACATTTCCAAACTGTGGAGAAGTTGAGCTACACAATTAAGAAACCACTAAGTTTAGATTTACATCATACATTGTTCTTCGGGAAACTAGTGTCTTTCTGGCTCGACATTTACACATATATATCTTATAGCAACATATCCTCTCAGTATCATTACTAGAACAGTGTACTGGCTGGATGAATGAAGGGCATGCTTTTTGGTATGAATTAACTTTTTATTTCTGTTTTGGTCTGTGCAAAATACTAGGCATAAAAAAAAAAAAAAAATCACCTGGGAGACTGTTGTGAAGGGTAAGAAAAAGCTCCTCCCTTTTGGAATTTCTTATGCTTGGGAGTAGATGGAGGTCCAGGTGTAAAAATCATATCTACTCTGAAAAAAAGAAAAGTGTAACTGCATAAGTCCATCTCTAAATGCTAATACATGATAGAAAATGCTATGCATCTCTGCAGCAAACAGTAGCAAAGATTCAAAAAGGAAGCACGCGTCAGTTTGGTAATATATTGAGTGTCATGACATGTGTGTTCTGTTCTGGGTTCAAAATCAATACACTGAATTGTAATTACCTGGTAATTTCATGGTAATTAAGTAATTATCTAGTTCATTGTTTCCAAACTTTGACATTTGAAACACATGACTTCATTTCCTTCAAAGGAACTAAATAGTGTGATTGTCAAAAAAGCTCTAGTAACAGCTGCTCCTAAAAATGTCAGGAGAGACCTATCAGGTTTTATGCCAGATAATGAAAATCAGAATTTGAATGGTAGCAATTCTTGATAATCATAATAAAACAATGACTTTCTAGCAGTTATGTGCCTAATTATAAGTTGGGGTTTTTTTTGCCTTGGTTTGAAAAATATAACTGTCAATTAAGTTTCACAGGGAATCCTTGACCTATTATTTGGAACAAAACCAAAAAGATTGTTTGGGAGACTCCAGCATCTTTTACTATATCAGTTTATTCTGTCATTTGGCATATCCAACTGTTCAGGTGGAAGCAAGCCTCTGTTCATTCAGCTCACACACCAAACTGACCAGGTATCAGTCAGCACTTGTCCACAGAGCAGTTATCTCTATTATCACACAATCCATGCGGGTACATTGAATGGCTTCATGGTACCCCATGGAGTTTTGAAAAAGGAACTTAAAACTCAAGGCAAACCTCATAAAGCTAAATAGATATTTGCTCAAGCATTGTTGGGCCATCTGTCAATGTCTCATCAAACTCCTATGGCATCTTCGTATTCATAGAAACAATGAGTAGTACTCACCTCCCTGGTTTTGTCCAGTTACAATCAACACAGTGAAGAAAATTTGAAGGATAATAAGGGAGATTCAACTGATCAAATTATCAGTTTTTTAAGCAGGGATTAATTGTGCCATAAAGGTCATTATGCTGACTAGCTGTCTGTCAACTATAAGAGGAATCTCACATGGCTTGCCAGGGTTATGCTTTTTCTTCAAAGACCTCTAAAAACATCTTCCCTGTATATGTGCAAAATGACTGTTGACATTTTGTGGTTTTTTTCACTACTGGTGATTCTTTATAATGGGGCATGGCATTGACAGAATCACAGAATCACAGAATC